GCACCACTGCCGCTTGCCCCGAGCACAGCCCCAGACCAACCTCCACCCTCGCTGGAGGCAGCCCATCCTTGCCCCGCGCACAGATCCGGGGGGCATGTACCACCCCGTGCCTTGCCCAGTGATGCGCAGAGTGGCAGGAGCCCCCTGGATGAGCCACTCATGGCTCTGTCCCATGCCTGCCCCACCCTGGCTGGGTAGTGCCTGCCCCAGCCTCACTCCCTCCTTCACTGTGGGGTCCTCAGTCTGCCCCTCCACCCCTTCCCCCCCTCGACCCTTGCCCCCAACAGTCTTACCATCTGGTTGCTGCTCTTCAAGCTGCCAGGATGCATATTGATGATTGGTATCAACCGATATCGCTCACTGATAATTAGCTATCAGTATTGGCCCAAAAAAACTTTATGGGTGGACCCCTAATTTTTGTCATGATTTGTATTTGCATAGTGTATACAGAGATTATTGCATAATAACTAAAAAATAAAGTCTTACTCTTGTGTATTGTGTGTGGGGGGATGTTGGTGGGGTGTGTGCGTATATTTGGGGAGTTGTGGGGGCAGGGTGTGGATGTGTGGCTTTTGTGGGGTGTGAGGGACTGTGGGGAGGGGTTGTGGACCCCCCACACCCTTCTTCCCATGGCGCATAGTCCCCAGCTTCGGCCAGCACTGCACACGCCTCTATCATGGGGGCTGTGCACCACGCATGTGCAGTTCCTGCACTTCTGCGGCACTGGGACTGAAGCTCTGTGCTGCCACCTGCCTCAGCCCCTTGTTCCCTGCCCCTGCCCAATTGCAGCTCCCCTTCCCTGCCACTTCCCTGCTTGCTGCCTAAAGTGACTGGGATGCTGGGGAAGTAGAGCAGGTCCCTGGGGGCTGCAGCAGCAGTAGCCCCGGCCGGAAGCTGCTGCTGGCTGGGCACTTCCACTCAAGAGGATAAGAGCCTGGTGCCATAGGGTATGTTGGGAAGCGGAAGTGTATGTATGTCGGCCCCTCACTCACATCCTAGTGGGTGGAAGGGCTGGGCAGGGCACAAATAATTGACCGGCGTCCCTGGGTGAGAAGTGCCTGCATGCTGCCCGTAGGCAGTATTTTGCCCTCCCCGATCTATTTCCTAGATCCTGTTTTCAAATACTATGAAAGAATTCCACATGGACAGAGCTCTCACTTGCAGAAATCTCGTCTCTCCTGTTAGTAGTTGGTTTCATCCCATTACTTCTAATTACCGCATCATGCTACCATAAATAAATACCATATTGTTCTGATTATAAGTTGATGCTATATGTTCAGGTTAAGTTTAAGGGAAAGTAACTGTTTCCCTGAGTATGTTGATAACTAAACTATAAGGATCTTTACAGCTATTGCTCTTGCAGAATTCCACCAGAGAATAAGATAACTAAGGGTTAAATGTACTGAAAGTACTAAAGTAAAAACTAGTAGAAAAAGGAGTTCTGCCGTGGTATTTTTATTGCATGTACAAAAATATCACAGCAAATCAAGACTATGGGAAACCTGATTATAGGTTGATCCCACTTATAAATCAAGTGTAATCACTTTTATTTTCTGTTGTTAATATTTCTTTTGGAAGGCGAAAAGGTAGACTTAATGGCAGAACATTGCAGTACTCTGTCCTACTTATTCTCCTTATAAGTTGTGGGTTTCTTTATTCCACACATTTTTTTTCCTTAGCAATATTCTCAGTATCGAGCTCTAAGAACTGTCTAGTCCTAGTCAAATCATTACATGTTGACACACTAGGTACCTTGCAAGTAGCAAAGCCCCTTGACAAGCTAAACCCTTAATCACTGCTAGTAGATCAGTCCCTTCAGTGTTCCTGTTCTCCCTTCTGTCTTTTCTGTGCTTTGACAGCACTGGTATATCCCTAGTGATGAGATGCTTAGAATTGCTGTGTGCTATTTTTCAATCCTGGAGTATATGACCAAAAGCTTACTAAAAAGTAGTTAAATGAACTAGTTCTGAATTTTTTGTTGGTGTTGTTCTTGGAGAAACATGGACTATTCAGATTTGTAAAGGAGAATTTTTCAGGTGGTTAGCCAGATGCTCCCTTAGCCCTGGCATGTCAAATTTCCCTCTAATTTCTTCCAAAGAAAGGAAAACCAGCACTGTTCCCTCTGATATGAAGGAAAATCTGGGGGCTGAGGGAGCACTGACTAAAGTAGATGATTGGTAATGGGATTTAGGACTTTACCCTTGGCTCACTATCAAGACTGAAAAATGTTGGCTGTGATAAAGTTCATATTAGCGGCCTAATGAAAGACGTTCCGGTTTTTGCTGGGCCATGTAGATGGGGTTGCCTTCTCAGCTCCAGGAAGCAGTTCTTTCGGAGTTGGAGGAGCTTGGGAAAGTCTGCCTCTTTACATGTTATGTGAGCACAGGTCTTCTGTGCTGTCAGTCTGATGCCTGGGCACGATGTTGATATCCTACAAATCAAAAAATGCCTAGTTTTTCTTTCAGAATGCAGCTGCCATTGCCAAGTACTGAAGTATGGCATCTGAGCATTGCATTATTTCTTACTTCTGCAGCTGATCAGGGTGTGTAGCATTTCACAGACATTCTCAAAACGGGAATGGGAAAATTGGGTTAAGCCATTGCTTATTTAATGTTAGCATTTAAAAAGAGATACTTTCTATCATGTAACTGGTTTTTTTCCCGCTTTCTTTTTTAGTATTGTATCTTAACTGTATTGTTTTGTCTCTAACTAGGTTGTTCTTTGTGTGTGGTAATTTGACTTGCTTTCTTGTCTGTAGGCAAAGTGTCTAATTGTTTGGGTGGTAAGGTGCTGGTAAGAAATTAAAATCTAGCCTTAGTTTCTCACTGTAAGTACGATGCAGTAACTTTAGCCACTTAAACTTAGTTACACATGTAAGTTAGACTTAGTAGGTATGGTTAAAGTATTTGGGAAGTGAGAGGCACTTGGTTGGTATGTTTTTGATTTGAGTACAGCAGAAACCAAAGTATGAACAAGCCCAAGATGGATTGCCTAGTTTGTCAAGGCTAAGCCTGAGATTCCCCAAAAAATCTCTTACAAGCAGGAATTCTGGTTTTCTCTAATTTTAAAAAATCCCCAATTTTCAGTTACAAAAAGTAACCCCAAATCCACCTTTTTTGTGAGTGAAAATGAAACACCTCTATATCTGTAGCTATATTAATGGGGTTTCATTTAAATCCCAGAAAAATGTGGATTTGGGGTTACCGTTTTTTAACTGAAAACTGGGGATTTTTTTTAATTGGAGAAAACCAGGATCCCTGCTTTTAAGTGTTCTTTTTCTTGCTTGGCTAGCTCTACCTTTCGTGGTACTTTGATTAGCCCTCCTAATGCCACCTGCTAGTTTGCAGTAAACCATCAGCTTTTAAGCTCTACTGTAATAGTTTAGTAAAGAAAATGTGCATTTAAACCAATAAAGGTTCGATAAACTGTGATGAGCCAAATAAATGCATATTGTCCATTCATTCAGTAACTTTTTCAGATGTAGCTCAGAGTGTTTTAAGCAATGCTAAAGAATAGTTTTCCCCATCTGAGAATGAAGGATGAAGCACAGAAAAGTTTGAGTGACATCTTGGGACAAGTCAAGTCATCTATCAGTAGCCGTCTCCCAGTGTCTAGTTCATCCCTGCCCATTATGATAGCCTCTGCCAAGCATGCTCGTTTATGTTTGTAGATGCTGAGGTTTGATTAAAGGCCTCCCAGAACGCAGTTGGGGGACCTGGCACATGCAGTTGTCCCTGTCCCTGGTCTGTTGTTTTTGCCTGAAGCTTGTATTAAACTTGTTGTATTACCTGATGTTTAAGCAACAGTAAAAGCTGCAAAAATGGGGGAAAGTGAGGTGCAGGAGGCTAAGTGATTTCACTGTGACACCTTGGACAGATCACTGGTGGTCAGGAGCAAAGCTGTATTCTGAGACTGTGTTTTTACTAGTCAACCACTCTTGAGTCCTTTCGGGAATAATCCCAAATATGTCTTTTCTACATGAGAAGATGTCCCTTACATCACTGTTTCTCAACCTGTGGTACGCATACGCCTAGGGGTACGCGAGACATGGGCAGGGGAGACACAGGTGCTGTTTTTGAGTTTGGCCTGCCCCCTGCCTGGCGGGTTGGAGGCATCTTTGCCTGTTCAGGCTGGAAGTTGCAGCTGCCACTCCTCCTGCCACGTCCAGTGCGCTGGGGCTTTCACACAGGCTGCTTTGCCCCAGGCCGGGTGTGTGAGGAAAAAGGTGGGACTCTGCTCGCAACAGCAAAACCGAAAGTGCCACGGTGGGACTTCTGGTTTCACTTTTGCTGCATTGAGTGGCAGGTGGTACGTAAGGTACCAAAGGTTGAGAACCACTGCCTTACATCATTTGTTAGTCCCTTAAACAGTGGCATGGGTAAAATAACTCTTTGACACTGAGCTCATTCCTATTTTTTTTAGGAGGCCTGAAAGATGTGGGGTTTTTTTGGTACACATGAAAACTATTGTGTGCCATCTTGTATTTCATGAAGGGGCAAGGTTTTCTTTAAAATAATTACACTGGAGAGAGTCAAATTTTGCTGGAAGATCTGGTGTCCCAATAATCTTCCCTTTAACTGAAGGAGTGGCTGGGTTCAATCTCGTAGAGATCTCTTTTCTCCAGAATCTATGTTTGTTTGAAGTTCAATGTGTATTTAATAAAGTTAGATTAAAATCATTATTTTGATTCTTGCAATGTGATCTACTGACTGGAGAATTACCAACATTAAAACATCCTCCAATGTAAAAAAGACCTGGATTTCTGAAGAAAAATATTTAGAAAATGTTTTCAGAGACTTGTTTTCAGCTCTCTTGTCTCTACTTTGGAAAAATGCAATCTTCCTTTCCATGTAACCTTTCAGGAAGTTCACCATCTTTAGGGTAACAGTGTGACTACTATTATTTCCGCATTAAGGGGGTTTTATGGTGTGATACAGAGAGACTTTCATTTTGGAATATGACAATACGTAGCACTTGAGCTATGTAAGCGGTTTGCAGCTGGCATTGGTGTCTGCATGCTGCACGGTGGGATTCTTTGTGTTGTTCCTAGTTTACCAAAATACTTTCCTTTTTTCTTTTTTTCTTTTCCCTCATCCAGATTAGCACGACATCTACAGAAAGAGGCCCAGTCTCAACACAATAATTCAGAATTCACAGAAGATCAAAAGGTAACTGATAGTATTTGTTCAATCCTGTGGGGGTCTAAAGAACTGATCACCTATAAGGCCCATTGACACTAATGCAAGGCCAGGGTTTTTTTGGTGTCATAGGTAAGGGGCTTCTGCTTTTCTTCTCCCTTGAATTATATAGTACTGCAACACAATGTTTGCTATCATCAGAGATGGCAGATGCTCTGTTGGCCAGATTGTAAAACGTTCAATACTGCAGAATCTTTTATAACCAAGATTTTTCTTTTTGGGTAACCTCTTAATAACTAGCTTCTAGAACTTCAGCAAAAAATAAAATACAAACACAAAATATCTGGAATGGCATATGCAATTCAATAGGTGGGGAGGACTTTAATTTAACACATAACACCTGATTGGAAAGACTGCTGCCAAAAATGCTTTAATAGTTATTTAGAGTCCTTATTGTTTACTCTTTCAGAAGGGTGAAGCATTTTGCTCCCTGGTCTTGTTTTCTTACGTGAGCAAGGCTGGGATTTTTGTCTGTTGTCATCACCTTCACCATCCGCTGTAAAGCTGGCAAGTCAGTCAGCAACACGGAAGTCCTTGACTTCAGAAAAGCTGACTTTGACAAGCTCAGGAGGCTGGTCAGTGAGGCCCTAAGGGACCATGACCCCAGGGAAAGGGCAGTTCAAGAAGGGTGGTTGCTCCTCAAGGGAGCGATCCTCAGTGCACAAGCTAAGTATATTCCATCTGGAAGGAAAGGCAGCAAGAGGGCACAGCAAGCCCCCCTGGCTCTCCAGGGACCTAGCAGACCTAAGGCTAAAAAGAAAAGCCTACAAAGGATGGAGGATGGGATTCATCTCCAAGGAGGATTATTCTGCACTGGTCCAGTCCTGCAGGGAGCAAACCAGGAAAGCCAAAGCTGCAAGTGAACTTCAACTAGCTTTGAGCATCAGGGACAATAAAAAGTCCCTTTTCAGGTATGTGGGGAGCTGGAGGAAAAGCAAGGGCAACATTGGACCTCTGCTGAACCAGATGGGGCAACTGATGCCCGGGAAAAAGCCATCCTATTAAATGGGTACTTTGCGTCGGTCTTTCATCAGTCCCATGGGACACCCATGCCCACCACAGGACAGGGAGGTCCAGGTGGGGGAGATCCCCTGCCCTCCATAAATGCAGACCTTGTGAAGGAACATCTTGGATACCTTCA